TTTCGGCAGTCTAAATGCAGCTCACGCTACCTCACTCATAGTCGATTATTTGTAGCGGATTCCAATAAATGAGAAAAAATTTTATCTACTTGCGAGGTTCGTTCTCGAAAACAGCGACAAAACTCCGCATAGACGCTGACACTTCAAAGCGTTTCTCGCATATTCTGATTCCTAGGAGCAAAAGTGCAAGAAGACAGTTCCGACGGGAACATGCGTGATTTTAGGCCGGAATTTTAAACTGGACTGGCTGGATTTTTTTTTCGGGTTGTAAAACTGGACGTGATTCCTTTTGTGAAAATGGAATAGTGGGGCCTTGTCTCCACGGTACGTTTTCATGGGATTTGTCCCAAGTTCGAATCGCAGGAATGAAACTTCGGGGATTTTTCCCAGTTACCGTCTCCACGGGACGGGGCTCTTACAGTCCTGCGACTAGTTTGCGGGGGAAGATGAATTAGTTAAAGTCGAGTTTTTAACCGGGATTAAAATAATAAATGCACTCAATTGATAATTAGACACATTATTTTATTAACAAAACAAACATGAACAATGGAGTAATCAACAAAATATCGCACAATTCGTTTTCACTTCTTCCTCCTCTCTCAGTTCCTTCTAGGGGTACAAGGATCAAACTTGGTACTGGAAAAAATATTGATTAACTCAATATTTTTCCCAACTTCGCGAGTGAGATTTTTCCCTGGGACAAATCCCGTGAAATGGCCCGTGGAGACAAGGCCTAAGATTTTACATTGAATGAATTAGGAATAAGCGCCAAAATATGCGGCTCTCATGAATCATGAGCATGTGACAACAGGGCCGGATTTATCTACTTGCCACCCATGGGCCGCCTGTATTCTGCCGCCCCTCTTTCTCATTCGTTTTGAAACATCAATAAAAACTATCAAGTGAAGTGCCGGAGGGGGAGGGGTGAATAAGACGCGTTTACTCGTGTTGGAAACATTTTTTTGCGAAAGCCCTGTCGACACTTCTAGCAAAATTTCACGGAACTTTGCGCGAAAGTTAGGTTCCGTGAACCTATCTCTGTGTGGACAAGGCCTTCCATTTATAAGAAATGAACAAAAAAATTATGAAAGAACAAACATAAATGTGGTATAATAATTTTAACTTCCGCAGCTGCGCCGCGCTGACTGCACTGTGTTTGACGCAATGCGTGAAGTGTTCATGCAATCTTGTGGGCGCTATGCGTTTCACGTCGACCGCTGCTGACCGCGTTGTGTTTGACGCAATGTATGAAGTATTCATGCAGTTTTGTAGGCGCTGATGTGTGTTAAATGCCGACCGCTGCGCCGAGGGCTTTTCCTTTTCATCTCAAGTCCTCGTTATCATTGCTCTCTGCGCCGCGTCGTTCCATACTCGACTAATTAAAGGTTCTGTCTCTTGTATCACCGAAAGACGACAAAATTAGAATTTACTATTAATTTAGAAGAATTTACTATTAATTTAGAAGAATTTACTATTAATTTAAAAACTAATTAGAATTCTCTGGCAATGAGAGATTTTGTCGCCTTTTCTTGCTTGTAATTTTTTTCTGAATCCAATTTTTTTTATACTTACATTTAAAAAAGTGCAAAATTTGCCGTCCCCTAAAATTGCCGCCATGGGCCGCGGCCCATGTGGCCACCCCCTAAATCCGACCCTGTCTGACAAGAGCATGGACAGGACTCATGAGTTAATGCGGCATCGTTTCGATCCTCGAGCCCGGTCGCTGGTTCGTTTTAGCAGAAAAAATGATACAGATTGATCTCTTACCTGTCATTATTAATGTGTACATAGATGCATTATCACAAGGCCAGTTCAAATGATAAGGATACATCCGCATTACGTTGGGATCCAAAATATTTCCGAGCTGTGGCATCAGAAATTTGGCCTTTTTGGCTTCGCTTTCACGAAACGATGCCTGATAACAGAATATGAATCGGATATTAGTACATTCAAAAATCACATAGAACAAAATAAGCATATCATTTTTTTCTCATAACCTACGTATGCTACTCTTTCCTCATTGTATCTTTCTGTCCGGAAATTATAGAATAGAGAATTTGCAGGTGTCTGAAATTTGATGAATTTCGTGTTTACGTGGAAACTACGGAGTGAACAGAACACGAGGATACCCTTGAATTGAACAATTATTGGAGAAGATATGACAAAATGATCTGGGTATGGGCAAATGGGTCACTAAACCATGAACGAATTTTGACTTGCGAATATAGTTTTCTGAAGGAAAATGACGTGTAGAACACGATGCGCACATTAAAAACGCGAACAAGTAACTCAATAACCGAGAAATGCGCAGTTCAAATCGCTCAACTTATACGCAAATTTAAAACGCCCCGGTTTCGCGCCGCGCCGAATGATGTCATCCGGCACCAATCAGAAGCGGGCACGGGTTTTCACGACTTCCGTCAAATGTCTATCTACCCTTCGTAAATGAAAACAATACTAAAGTCGAAATTATGTCTTTTGAATTCAAGACTTGAATCTCATTCATATGTTAGCTGTAATAAACGAGCAACAATTCCACATTGAAACACGTTTTATTTTAACAAACATCAGAGGAAAATGAGAGAAGATTGCGATATGACTACCGCAGTGCGTCAACACCGTCAGTTTCCGGTCATTCGGGTGCGTTTGAAATATCTTGCAGTTTTTAGATTTTTCAAAAGCGGTTTTCTCCGCGATTTTGGCTCCATGAAAATGCGGAAAAATCACCACGTTATCTCCTCACATAGTACTTTCAGAATAATATTCAATAAAATAAACAAGGTTTAGTGACCCATTCTCCATTACTGTAATTGTTAGTAGAAGTATTTACGACGAAAAACATGTCAGTTCACTGTTTCCTTAGAAATTCAGAAGGAAAATATATTTTTGAACTCTTAGGCTATTGCCTGTTATGATCACTGAAGATTTAGAGGTCGAGGTTTGAGCTGGTCAGTTCCCAAGGCTTACACTTCTTTGAACTCCTGAACTTTTTATAGTTGTCAAGGAACCCAAAAGTTTCCTCATTATGGTGAGAGTGAAGTCTGTACTCGCATCGAGTTACTTTTCTAATATACTAGACGACAGACTCTACTCCAAAGCTCAATGGATGTCAGTAAATCTCTAGTATTGTTTCGTTCCACGAATTTTTCCAAGGATTTTACTTTGGACTCTTTTTAAGTCTAAGTTGGTGTGACTATGTGACCTGTCATGTTAACAGCTCAATGTGCAAGAGTGAGTGTGAAACACCTCAAGATGAGGCTGATAAATTTATGGCTACATGTTTACTTCTTAAGTTTCTTATGGTGTTCCCACTTTGTGCACTCTGTTTGTCACGAAAATATTTGTTGATGTGGAAGCAACGTCTAAGTTATTTTCTAAATTGTCAAAATAGGCGGAAAAACACTATCTCCAGTTTCCCTGCTTCAGTGGTTTCCTCACCAGGCGCGGGCCTATTTAAGCCCCCACCCTGCTTCCCTTGCCTCATTCCCACAAAAAAATGACTTGAAGTTTTTTTCTCTTTTTTTTGAAAAAGCCATCTGATTTCCGCCCATTTGGTATTTTTGCTTAAGAAAAGTGGGCTTACCATTAAAAAATGTTTTGGGGCCTTATCGATAACATCAGGAATAACAGCGTGTTTTAAAAGAGCTTCCTCTATTTCCGCAGCTCCTTTTGTGACTAGAGGTGGTATAGCTGTTGTAGGTGTCAAGGCTCTAATTCGCAAAACCCATAAGGCACAAAGAGCGTTCAAACTATATTCGAGCCGGAATGCTCGAGTTATCTTTAAAGTAAACATCTCGAGAGAGTCAAATCATTTTTTATTTTTAAACTAAACTCTGAGCATATTTTCGTGGTGATTTCAAGGAGGAAACGAATTCGGCAAAATCACTGCACAGCAAAGAAGGAAAGTGTCCAATTTTTAACCATCATGAAGCATGATTAGTTTTCTGGAACAATCAAAAGGTGCGAAAATTTTTTTAAAAAAAAAAAAAAAACTTGAGACTCCTTGCATGCCTTAAAGCGGGACTTTACACGTGTTTTACCAGCCATAATTTTTTGACTGAGATGATTACAGCCTCCTGAGCCCACTCTCACAAGTATAAGTCACATCAATTGACTTAATGTGATTGTGATTAATGATACGCTGACACAATTTCGTCTCGACGGACTCTGAGGTTTTCATAAAAACAAAATTAATCAGTATCACTATCATGTCACTTCATGTATCCCTGACATCTGGGCAAACTTTATCTTCGTTTTTCTCAATTTCATGACCCTATCGAACCGAGACACTTGCATAAAAAATACCGTGAAAAATAATAACCTCAAAATTTCGTTTTTTAAGGTTTTTTGCTCGTAACTTTTTTCAAGAAATTTTAGAAAATAAGTTTACCCGTCTGAAATAAATTATACCTAAAATGCTACAGTTTTAAGTATTAGCCAGACCGGAAGTCTGCAATGCTGCAAAGGGAGATACGTGGTTTCGGACTTCAGCCAGGAGTAAACAGAATTACATTATTTAGTTAGTTAGTTAGTTAGTTAGTTAGTTAGTATAATTTTAAGACACTCAGCGTCTCAGGCCATACCTGTCTTTACAGATAATTTTGAAAATGGGAGTATAAACGAAAATTTAGATTTTTAAATTAAGAGAGGTGAAGAGTCTCAGAATTTTGGTGGTAATATTGGGTTCATCGCATGCAAGAGGGTTTGTAATTCTGTTGATTGTAGGGGAGTAGATCTGTGATTGGAGATATCGGAGGGCAGAGCAGTCCATAAGTATGTGTTTGATGGTTAGAGGTGATGAATTACAGAAGTGGCAGATGGGTTGATTTTCTTTGGAGATGATATGACTGTGAGTGAAAAAAGTGTGACCTATCCTGAGACGCGCAATTTGGACTTCACATGATCTTGTTTTGTGGTTAGATGTTCTTGGATATGGCATGGGGGCTCTACGGAGAGAGGGCTTCAACTGAGCCAACACCTGAAATATGAAAATTTGTGTTCCTCAGGCAAGATGTGCCCGCCTTAAAAGTGGAAATCAAAACTGGAGTCTGGCGAAGAAATTTGATCGGGGTCAAAGATTTCGTTTTTGCTTTTCAGTGTTAAACGCTCTTTAATGCACTCAAGACACGGAGTTAAAATTTCTGGTCATAAGAATCTACATTTAATAACGTAAGTGTGAGTGGCCCTATAACGCTTACAATTTAGCCCTACTTTGGAGCTGAGTCGTTTCTATAGCTGGCATCAGTGCCTACAAACTTTAACAGTGCTATGCTCGAATTTTCCGCTGTGCATTCTCAAATTCTGTGTTGCTACCAAAGCTCAAATATTGGAAATTTTCGATATTTCTTGCGTTAAAGGCTGCAGAAATAACTCTTTTAAACTGTGGTATGGATCGTACGCAATACATCAAATAGATGAGGTTGCATCCATAAAGATAGGTTCAACATGTTAATATAACCTCAAATAAAGTCCATCGCGTAATCTCGCGTAACGGCTTTTTTAATCTTATGAGTACAATACGGCAATAAAAAGTGAAATTGATGAGAATTTTCTCGTTTTCAGCTTATCCGGCTTAAATCCTTAAATTTTTGTTTCAGGCTATGCTTTGAACCAAACAACACATCGAGCCATATCGAATAGGATCCATAGGGGTAATCTCACTTTTTCTCTCGCATCTAATCACATTTTCCCTGACTTCAACACGTTTTCCGAACTGTGCCTCAATACCTATTTTTCATTTTACTTTGTTATTGATGATATGCAAACAATAAAGACTGCATACCTATCTTGTAATTCATAAAAATACGGATCACAGTAAAACTGCCTTCAAGTGTTGCTCATCGTGTCAAATACCTACGTAAACTTGTAAATGAAAAAATTATTTGTCTACGACGTTCTCATTCATTAATACAAATGCATTTTTACTTCTAGCGGTTCCTTCTGCCAGATTTTTACCAATCGCGGAGGTACATACAGTTTGGCCATTATTCACAAAAGTAATCTAAACTTAAGAATGCCGTGTCGGAAGAATAATATGACTGATCGCGTGAAACGCATCAGGTACAAAACCAAGAGAGTTCTAAGGAAAAGAAGGCGCGTTGAAGAAAAAAACGCTGAATTTCGAAACGAAAACTCGATTCAAGATTTCCCTTGCATCTGCAATCGAAAGCCGACAGGAATTTACTGTCATCTCTGTAGAGTTTACACACCAAATGTTCGGTTTAGACGAGCATGTTATCGCCATCCGCGCACTATCAATCATACAGATCTGCTGGAGTGTCCAAATTGTTCTGAGGTGACAGATCTCCAAGAGCTTCGGGAAACAAATCTTCGCTGATTTTTCGTTGGTTCTCTTGATTTTCAACTTATCTTATCGCGTGTAACATGCCTAAGTCATGATTGATATTTCCTCTCGAAACTTTTGTTGACACTTTTTTTCTCAGCATGTGATACTATGATTGTTCTTTCTAAGTTAATTATTTAGCCTCAGAATCAAATATTATGTACCCAAGAATCAGCATTCTCGTTTCAACTGTCAAAAGGAAAAATTAAAAAAAAACGTTTTCAGAATATTATTTCGTAACAAATTTGTCATCCGTTTTTAGACAAAAGTTTTCCTCTAATCATGTACGAATAAGTATATTCCTCCAATAAATGAAAGTAAATTATAGAAGAAGGTGATTGGCTCATTCAGCGGCGTAAACTTCTAGGTGTTTAGAACGCTTGGTACCTCCCTTTTCCATGACCTGCGAATCTACCGAGGAAAATCTCATATTCAATTGCTCCTCATATATTTTTCCCCGTATTTTCCTGCGAGGAATTTGTGATTCAAAGATGTAGCTCTCATGAGAAATTTCAGCTCATTCCACAAAACGTGTTGTTACAAGAAACTATAATGTTTTGCAAGGAGTTGGCTTAGTAGTTTTAGTGGAGAAAAATGAGTTAGGAAAAATAATAAAAGAAAACTGATCGAAAAGTGTAGTCTTTCATTTAATCATTATTATCATTATTGAAGCAGAATCAACGAAACGACATGAATAATGCCCAATTGCCGCTTAGTTTTTATTTTTAATACGTACCAAAGTAAACAATGTAGGTAATCTTCCAAAACTCTCCTCAATTCTTCCTTAAATTATAAAGAGGAACTTTTCAAACGGTGAAAGTAGAATGCAACATTTTGTTTCTTCCTCTTTAAGTAATAAATAAAGTATAAGAAAAAAGTAAGTAAAGTCTAAAGTATCCAATTTGAATCCGATTAAACCCGCCCAATCATACGTTACTTCACCCACCTTTCACACAGAACTGCAGAGTTCAAATTCCGCGCTTCGAAAGTACACCTCAACCAACAATTTAAAAAAAGGAATGATTGATTTGATACATTATAGAAACTTGTGTCCCATTAGCTTCCACATACAGATGGGTATTTTAATGTATGAGTTATAAACAGGTGTTACTTTTTGCAAATTGTAGTTCACTGGCTTTATCATAAAATCTCTGGATAGTATAAACTTATTGTGTCTTATTCTGATCCAAAGCGCTGCATGGACTATTAGCCAAAATAAAAGTAGGAAATAAAATATAGCACAGAGGAATTAAAACTCGCACAATAACAATCATATTTATCCATATATTTTGAAAACTAAAATTACTTACATGGTTATGAAATAAAATAAATGTAAATGACAAGAGTAAAGACGAGGTCAAAATCGATATTCTTGTTGAGGAAAATCCCTCGCTAGTGAGGGGGAATTTTTTGATACTGTATAGTGCCAAATGCAGCATTTAAATAATAATATGTAATATGCAAAATATATAAGAAGCGTGTGCTGAGCCTCATCTTCGTAAGATTCATATTCGTCCTCAGGATACGTCCCTATTGGGTTCCATTCTGTGAGAAAGAAGTTGGTAGCTATGACACTATGACTGATAGACAACTACACTTGCTGAAATAGAGTGGGAGAGCGAAATTAACAAACTGAAAATAAAATATTGGTAAACTTTCGTGCAATCTACTTATATAATCTGAGGGTCTTGAGAATAAAGGATTGTAACAAGATTATTGGCATTTTCTTTACAGTTTAATCTGTTAATATAATTTTCATAAACAATAATGAGAGTCTTAAAATTTGAATTTAGAAAAAGAAAAGATATTTCAGAATGAGTGAAATTAGATATGAAAGGATCCACCAAGAGTCCATGAGAAAAGCAGTTGAGTTGAGGAAAGATAGAACTTGATCAAGAAGAAAATCATACTTGAAGCCAGAGTATCCTTGAGACATAACAAGCCAAGACCAAGAGATCCGATCGGGCCGAGGCTCCCGACGAGATTGAAAATTTTAACCAAAAGAGAGTAAGAACTGGAGCGTTATCAAAAAAAAAAAAAAATGAAGAAGATGATGTTTTTTGTTAGGAGATAAAATGGATTTTTATCGGTTTATCAGATCTTGGAAATTCAGAAGAAAAAGATATGTTTCAACTCTTAGGCTATTGCCTGTTATGATCACTGAAGATTTAGAGGCTGAAGCCTGAGCTGGTCAGTTCCCAAGGCTTACTCTTCGTTGATCCCCTGAGCTTTTTAGAGTTGTCCAGGATCCCAAAAGTTTCCTCATTATGGTGAGAGTTGAAGTCTGTACTCGCATCGAATTACTTTTCTAATATACTAGACGACTGACTCTACTCAAAAGCTCAATGGGTGTCAGTAAATCTCTAGTATTGTTTTGCTTTAGGCCTTTTAACCTTTATTCAACAAGTGCGGGCCTATTTACGCCCCCACCCTGCTTCCCTTGCCTCATTCCCACAAAAAATGACTTGAGGTTTTTTTCCCCTTTTTTTGAAAAAGTCATCTGATTTCCGCCCATTTGGTATTTTTGCATAGGAAATGTGGGCTTACCATTAGAAAATGTTTGGGGGCCTTATCGATAACATCATAGTATAAGTGACAATTATTGAATTGACTTAATTTGATTGTGATTAATGATACGCAGACACAATTCCGTCTTGACGGACTCTGAAGTTTTCATAAAAAAAAAATTCATCAGTATCACTATCATGTCACTTTATGTATCCCTGACGTCTGGGCAAACTTTATCTTCGTTTTTCTCAATTTCATGACCCTATCGAACCGAGACACTTGCATAAAAAATACCGTTGATGTATGAAAAATCAAGAGATTACAATAGAGCAGGGCTTTCGAACTCACATTGCTCTTTAAGGATGTGCTTGAAGTATCATTAAAATTGAAGGCGAAATGAGACATCTGGTCTTGACTCCGACGCGCTTAAGGACGACCTGTTTTCGATTGAACCGAGATAGATATCCCCGATATCCGATCTTCAGAGAAACTGCAAAATCAAGCTATTCACTATGCAACGTTGCAGATTTATTGTCGTAAATAAATTTACCGAAAGATGATCAACCAACTGTGACACTTGGTCTATTTGTTTAGTTTTTTTAAGTAGGGTAAAAATAGCGACTTGAGAACAGTAAATTATCCAACAGCGTTGCATGATTGTGCAGAAAAATATGAATTAAATTACAGCGTTGTATAGGGATTATTGTTCAATATGGCAACGCTGTAAAAAGAAAGTATTGCATGTTGCCCCTTCAATATGCGGGTTATGCAATGGTGTAATAATGCCCCTTCATTTTTCGGGTTATGCAATGGTGTATTTTTCAAGATGGCGCAGCAGCGTTGCCGCGTGGTGCATGTAAATAAATGATTCATTTATTGGTGAAATTTTGCAACATTGCATTTTACAGTGTTGCCAGATGGGGCGAGAAATTAGTTGATTTTTCCGTACAGTGTTGCCAGATTGTGCAATAAATTCGGATTTTCGGACTTGTAAAAATTTTCGGTTTCGAGAGACCGTATCTTACCGTATGGGTCGGTATCTGATACTGTAGATTAGGGTCTGATTCGGGAAAATTGAAAATTTTTCGGAAAATCACCCTCGTCCGATCCGGCGCGGACCGATGCGATTCTTTTACACTATCGAAGATCGGAAAACTGTACTGACCGCATTTCGATACGAGTTTTGGTTTTCGAGATTTCGGACTTGTCCTGGTAACGCTAACGAACGCTGGACTATACGAGGGATTTCCCACTCTCGCTCTCCGT